CATATGTCATTTGTTGTTTCAACCTACTAAGTTTTGGGGTAGCTTATTATGCAGCGTCGAATGAGTTAGGAGAAAAACCACAAGAGTTTCTTTTTCTTTTCTTTTCTTTTTTTTTACTAGAAGCCAAGGGAAGAAAGCATTTCAAGAAGGAAGGAGTTATGAGTAATATCCGATGCTGCTCATCTTCTCAGTGTGATGAGGTCTGAGTATTGACCGCTGCGTTTAGCAATGTGGAAGTCGCTGGAAATTGTGACAAGATGTTTCAGAGAGTGGTGCAAATGAAGGCCTGATTGGAGTAGGTTCAAGAGAGAACAGAGAGAGAAATGTTGGAGGCTGAGAGTGTATCCAGCCCTTTCCTGGGGTTTTGCTGTAAAGGGCGATAGAATGTGGAGCAGTAGCTGGCGCCGTGGGGTTGAGAGAGGGTTTGTCATATATCATAGCTCATTTATATTCTGATTATCGTGATAACATGAGAGAGGGTGAAAAGATGATGCAGGAGAGAGGGGAGAACTTCTGGAGCAATTTTCTTGTGTAGACAAGAGAAGATGGGATTTGGGGCTGACGTGGAGATGTTGGCCTGAGATGGGAGCAGGGAGAGTGACAAGAAGAGAGTACCTGCAGGGCACAGAGATGAGATGATTGACAGGTGTGGTTGGACTGAATGGACATTCTTTTCTCAGGGTTCTATTTTTTTTGGTGAGTTAGGATGCAAGGGCACCAGCGGAGCGTGAGGAGAGGGAGGGAGGGGTATGGAGTTTGAGGGGCCAGAGCATGGTGTGAAATAGAAGTCTAGAATGGGCACCATGTGTTTGCAGTGAGACGTTTCAGCATCATAGGTTGGTTTTTTCCAGCCACATTCAGCTTTGGGACAGGATGCAGGACAGAGTAAGCGGGAAGCTGGATTCAACTAGGGTTGGAGTTTTGCTGGGGACTTCAGTGAAAGGGGAGAGGGACAAAGAAATTGAGACTATGTGCTGAAGAGTGATGATAAGGATAGACCATGGAATCTAAGAGGAAGGAACGCATGAGTGAGGTGAGGGAGAGAGGTAAGGGGCAAGACTAGTGGATCAGGGATCCCAGTAGTGTTGAAGAGGTACTATGATCAGGTTAATAGGATTGAGCTAGAGAGACAGGTGGTGGCTAGAAGGTGGGTATTTCAGAGTTGAGACTAAGGAAGGGGAGCCGCTATTCTTGTTGACCGTCTGATTGGGTAGCTGAGGCAGGGAAGAGGAAAAGATCATTGGGAGAGAGGAAGTCAAGGAACTGAGAGGCCAGGGATTGGGACGGATCCTCCATGAGTCTACACAGGCCCATTTCACCAAGGATTATGGCAGGAGCAGGGAGAGTGACAGTGAGCCAGGGGTTAAGGCCAACGAAGAAGAAAGAGGAGTTCTCCAGATTGTGTAGGATCTGCAACAATGATGGAGTCTGTTGGCAGCAAATCAAATTGTGGGGCTGATTTAGGGAGGATAGGAAGATAGGCAGTGGCAATGAAGAGTGAAGGGGACACCAACTTCACCTTCAGACCTACTGCCAGGAGGCGAAGGAGAACGAAAACCACCACTTGCGAGAACTACCAGAGAAAGCAGTGTTTTCAGAGGAGAGGTAAATTTCAGGGAGACTAAGATGGTGACGTTCTGAGAAGCTGAGAATATAAGGGCTTGTGCCAATGACTCTGTGTTTCAGAGGGTAGAGTGAAAAGATTTATGGATTTTGGGAAGAGTGGGAAATGGGGCTAACAGTGAATTTATAAGGTCTCACTGAGATGTGATTCTGGGTGACGAGAGAGGACCAGGGAACCCTGGGCATCTTGTAGTGACTGGAGTGAATAGGGATAAAGGAATGAAGAGGCTGGTCTGGGGGGACGGAGCCAGGAGTCTTTACAGGAGCGAGAGGACATCTGGGGTCTCGCTCACTCCTCCCCACGGTGGCAGGTGCTGGGAGGGGTGGTTTGATGGAAAATCTGAGGCCCCCCTCTACTCCTACTAAGGAGGTGTGGAAGCTGTGTGAGGGAAGTGGCAGTAGGTGGGTAAATATGGTATAAATCCATCCTCAAGGATAAAGAGAGGGCTCCATAAAAGTTTTGAAGCTGGGTAACAATTGGATGACTCTAATGGACCAGAGAAAGATGGGGGTGGGAGAAACAAGAAACAAGTTATTTTTACTTTAGAACCTCAGAAAGCTTTAGAAATTGCAGGCATGAGCATTTCAGAAGGCAGAGTAGAAGAGGGAGCTGGAAACCAGAGAGTAGGTTGAAAGTCCGCTTAAGCAGCAGCTCGACTCCTCACCTTCCGTGAGACAAAGAGTGGGTCAGCTGCCCACATCCTCTGTCTTTGCTCTCATTCACCGCCCTGCAGAGAACTTGAGGTTAGTCTCTGATGAGGGTGAATCACAGAGACGCTCCGCTCAGGGCATCACCGAGAGGCAGACTGTGTTTCAACAGGGAGCTGAGTGAGTGAAAACAGGCACTGGGCCGTGGGGCCCCTTTGCTTTGCTACACTTGGCACCTAGAACCCTGGCATCCAGGCTTATACCCCCAAGGAAGGCAGTCAAAAGAATCTTTTTGGAGAAACTGAGTTGTCAAAGAGAAAAAGTGAAACGATGCTTGTCTTAGTCTATTTGAGTTGCTATAACAAAAATACCATAGACAGGGTGACCTAAAGAACAAACATTTATTTCTCACGGTTCTGGAGGCTGGGAAGTCCAAAACCGAGACATGGGCAGATTGCATGTCTGGTGAGGGCTTCCTGGTTCATGGAGGGCTGTCTACTCACTGTGTCCTCACACGGTGGAAGGGGCTAGGGAGCTTCGTGGGGCCTCTTTTATAAGGACATCAATCCCATTCATGAGGGCTCCACCCTCATGACCTAATCACCTCCCAAAGGCCCCTGTCGACTAATACCGTCACCTTGGGGGTTAGGATTTCAACATATGAATTTGGGGGGACACATTCAGTCCATTAAAATGCTCTTGCCCAATCAGTCTAGAATCCACAAACCCCCATAATACACTCTGAGTGTTCGAGCTTTTAAATATGGTTGGGCTGCTGAGAAGTAGCAGAGGTTTCCAGAAAGTTCTGAGGAAAGAAGAGACCAATGAAAGGAGAAAACGAAAGACATAAAAAGACACTTGGAGGAAACAGAAAATACACAAAGCTTAAAAAAACTTCAAAAGTTAAAACTTTAATATTGCCAGAAAAAATATGGCATTCCCAAATAAAACATGCATGTGAAAAAGGAACATTCAGAGAACAAATGGACCATTTAGAAATTTTAAAATGTGACAGCATAAATAGTAAATCTTTGAATTGAAGACTTGGAATGAAACCTTGAGGAACTTTCCAAGAAAGTAGGAATAAAGAAAAACAGATGAAGAACAGCAGAGAAAATAAAGTTAGAAGCTCAAGTCTGGAAAGTCCAACATTGAGATAATAAGTGTCAGAGAGAGGACACCCCCAGGGAAGGACAGTGCTGGGGGTCAGCATGACCTCTGTTGTGGTCATGAGGAGCGTCCTGCTCAGCTTGTGCAGAAAAAGGAGGGTTCACTTCTCTCCAGAGCCTGCGGCCATCTTGGTGGCACAAGAAGGACAGTATGGGGGGTGCACAATGACATGGTGACAAGGGGTGGCTGAACTTGGCAGAGCGTGGGACCCGGATAATGACACTGGACTTCAATTCCCATGCAGTGAGAATGCACAGAGGTGTTGTTGAGGGGGGATGTGCAAGGAGGAACAATTTGGGAGGTGGAGACCAAAGGTGGGACACCAAGTTAGGTGACTGACAGAATGGTCCATGCACAGGTGCAACGTGGGCACATTTGGAAACAAGGAGGAAGAGACAGAAGAAACAGAGAGAAGCAGACAGAGGGGCCTTGGCAAAGTGAGCCTGAGCGAGGGGAGAGGGAGAGACCTGGGGTGACCTGGGGCCTGGCTGAGCTGTGGGGCTACAGAGAGGAAGAGGAGGAAGAGGAGAGGAAGGGGAAGGGGAGGAGTCGGGGGGCAGGGAGGAGTCAGAGTCATCAGCAGTGGTGGCTCCGGTTTGGTGGAAATGTGTTCCACTGGGCTTTGACTCCCATAACTGGATGATGCTGGCCCAGATGCAAACAGAGTGTGAGCAAGCAGTGGGCCTGGACCCTGTGAGGAGGTCAGAGCTGAGAAATCCTCAGCACTGGAGCGAGCAGTGTAGCCAAGGGCGTTGGGTCACGTTCTGGGAGGCTCTGGCCGTTTCTTTGCAGGGAAGGCAGAGTTCAGTGGTCAGGGAGGAGCTCCTGAGGGTGGGGGGGAGACTGGCCATCCTTCTTGGGGCCCGTGGCTCAGCAGGAAGCTCCCAGGGGCCTGGTCCAGGCTGAGCTGGGCAGATCAGAGACATCCCTCTGTGTTGCACATGTTGTTTCCTTGAGGCCTTTAGATGTGAGATCCTGAGAGGGAGAAACACATGAGGCCACCGGCATCCGTTCTCTGGCCCTGTCTCCCTCTCCGCACGCCTGCCCTCCTGCAGCAAGCCTGCTCCTGGCCTGACCTGGTCCTGTTTCTGCATCTTCCTCACCTTCGCGTTGGCCCTGCACCTTTCTCCTAGCCCCACCTGTGTGCTCCCTCATGTCCCCTTCTCCCCAGAGCTTGTGACTCTTTCCCTCCTGTGTAACCCTCTCTTCCTGAGGATTTAGGATGAGGCAGCATCCTGGGATGGTGGCTTTGCATAGGCATTCCATGTAGGGCAGGCGGTGGGAGGGACTTCTGGCTGTGTAGGTTGGTGTTACTGATGGAGGATGAATTAGAGGGCGAGGAGGGGGGAGGGAAGGGGAGGGAGACATGTGGACAAGATGCATGAGAATTTGCAGCTGAAAGACAAAGGTGGTTCTGTAATGAACACGCAAGGTGGATGGATTCAGTGAGGGTTGAATTTGGAGAGCCCTGTCGATTATAATTTTCCCCCCTCCAACTCTCTACCCAGGGACAGAAGCTGTTCCCATTTCCCTCCAAGTCCAACCCAAACTCCACTCACCAGACAAGCAGAGCTGACAGCACCAGGTTCTTGGCCACAAGGAGTCCACACAGCAGGGGCACCAGGGCACTGGGGGCTGCAGGGCTGGAGCAGGAAGTGGAGTTTCGTTGCCTGGAGGACAGAGGGACAGAAAGGAGAGAGGCCCAGGCTGAGGCGGCAGCTTCTGTCCTCCGGCCCCTGAGCCAGGCTTGTGTGGATGAGGGTCCCACTTTGAACTCACTGTGAAGGGGCGGTGATGGCGGAGGAAGCCCTGGAGGTCTCTCCGGCTCTTCCAGTGGGGGACACACAGCTCTGAGTCTGTGATGAGACCAGGTCACGGGGAGCCCAGGTGGCCTGCCTGGAGGGAGAGGCTGCCAGGGAAAGAGAAGGGGCCTTGGTTAGCAGACGGGATGGCCCACCTGTTTCTGCTGGCAGGAAAGCTGGAGTAGGGAACTAGGCTGGACCGGGAACAGAAGCCTATCAGCCTAGGAGAAAACCAGTTTGCGGGGTGGGGGCTGGGTTGTAAAGTCCCCTGGCTCAGGACTAGACAGACCGGCGGCCCAGGCTCTATCTGGGGCCTGTGGAGGTAGCCCTTGGTCTAGGAGGAGCACTGAAATAGGCGTCAGGAGGCCTGGGCCTCCCTCTGAGCATTTCTACCTCTTCACATGGGTCCTCTCTACCTCTCAGCCCCCTCAAGTGTGGAAAGAGTCCGATCTTTAAGCTGCTCTCATCTCTGACATCCCTCCCTCTTGGGGGGAGGGGGGGAGAGAGGGGTTCCCCCCCTCCCACACTTCGGGGGCTGTTGGGGAAGGGGCCCTCATGGGGAGTTTTAAGGGCTGCTGTAGCATCCCTGTCACCCCTGGTTCTGCGGCAGAGCCCTGGCCAGCCCGTAGGCCCCACTGCCTCAACAGCCTGGGTGGGACCTTTTCTGAGGCCCCCCTCTTGATTCTGAGACTTGAGGTGAGCCGCCTGCTCATCACCCCTGCTGCTCTGCCCTCCCAGGAAGACCCAGATCTACCTGTGCTCAGAGCCCGTGGTGGAGGCTAGGGGAGGGCCTCTCTGGAGAAGTGAGGGGGGCTGCTGAGGATAAAGAGAAGACAAGGGCTGCAGGAGGTGGGTGGGAGGCCCAGACGGGAAAGAGGCAGTGTCAGCCCCAAGGCTGTGACATGAAGTGGGGACTCTCAGTGTCCTCAGCCAGGTCTGCACACCCACCAGGGGTCCATGAGGGGAACTGTCTCCCCCAAAGGTTGGGGAGAGAGAGGGGCAAGGGCTGGGAGAGGCCTGGAGGAGAGGGTGCTGAGGCTGGGACACCTGTCAGCCCAGGGGCTGCCCTGGAAGGTCTTCCCTGGAGAGATCCCCAGGCTGATGGACATGTGGACACAATCCTGTCCCGCAGGAACACTCTCCAAGGCTGCCCAGAATGATAGCCAGGAACAACCCGTGTGCCCAGTCTGGAGGAGGGCCTTGGGACACTCAGAAAATTTTAGTCCTGAGCTACTGAATGTGTGATCTATGGGCTGGTGCTGGTCCACAAAGTATAATCTGCTTGCAAGAAGGTAAATACAGAAATTAGGAGTAAGGATTTCAAGATTTTTATATCAATCTGATATTGCCTCAAGGTCCAAGCGTGATTAATAAACTCATCTGGTTGAACAGGGTATAGACCAGATCGCGTATTGTCAAAGTGGCACAGAGAGCTGCATATGCAGCAAGCTGTGTGCTAGTAACACACAGTAGGACCATGTTCCAGCATGTGATAGTTTAAGGTTAGCTGGTCAATTATAACCCAAAAGCATATAAATACCTGAAAAAAATTATTCTTTATCATTTGTTACTTTTGCAATCATTTAAATTTTCAGTCAAACCTGTTTTTTTAAAATTTAGAGTTTAATATGATTAGCTAGAGTAGTGATTAGCTAATTCAATTACTAATTAACAGATAGCAAAACGAAAGCCATTGAACTTTTCATCAAGAAAAGACATACCTTTTCTGAATGTAGCAGTAATAATAAATCAAATGATTATAGTGGAATTGATTTCAAAGAAAATTTTCCTTCTGAAATTACTCCAAAGAGTTTGTACTGGCTTTATTTGAAAATTTAATCCCTTATTGTGGTAGTCAGAATAACAGCTGCCCCCCAGATGTCCATGTCCTAATCCCAGGAACCTGTGAATATGTTACCTTACATGGCAAAAGGGACTTTTCAGAGGTGGTTAAGGTTAAAGACCTTGAGATGGAGAGATTATCTGGGTGGGTCCAATTTAATCATGAGTATTCAAAAGCAGAGAACGTTTTCCAGCTATAGTCAGAGAGTGAAGGATCTTTGGCTTTGAAGATGGAGGAAGGGGGCCATGAGCCAAGGAATATGACAGCCTCTAGAAGCTGGGAAAGCTCTCAGTATACAGCCAGCAAGAAAATGGGACCTCTCAGTTTTAGAGCTACAAGGAACTGAATTCTGCCAAAGATCTGATGAGCAAGAAACCGATTCTCTCTAAGAGCCTTCAGAAAGGAACACAGCCTGCTGACGCCTTGACTTTAGTCCAGGAGGCCTATAGCTGACCTCTGATCCACAGACCTGTAAGATCATACATTTGTGTTGTTGTAAGCCACTATGTTTGTGGCAATTTGTTATGGCAGCAAAGGGAAACTACGGCACTCAGAGTGTGAGTTTTGTAGTTATAATTCATGGCGAAGTACTAAAACTTGGTGAATTATTTGTTGAGATGTACTGGCTAACGAAGCAAATACGTTATAAAAACAAATAGCATTTACATAAAAACACAAAAACACAAGTTCAAAACAAACTAATTTTTGGGGGGAAAAAGTATTGAATTAAAAAGCTCTTGAAAGCAGTCAGTATTTCACATATAAACTCTAATCTTTTCTAATGGGCTTCTTGTGCAGTAACACTGTGTGTTGCTAAGACTAAAAATCTATCTACAGGTGCTGAAACGTTGTTGAAAGACTGCAAGGCAGATGTTTGCTTCACAGTGTTGGGTTAATCTGTAGCAAAGAAGGGAGCTTAAACAGCACTCTCCATGACACTTTAGCTCCATGTATTCATGAATTAGCTAATGATATGGAAGATCAACTCCTAGAACAAATACAGGCACCATACACAGGCACCATAACGACGTTTCAGTCCACGATGTACCACGTGTATGACAGTGGTCCCATAAGATTAGTACCAGAGAGCCTAGGTACGGAGTAGGCTACACCATCGAGGTTTGTGTAAGCACACTCTACGATATTCAAACAATGATGAAATTTCCTAACAACGCATCTCTCAGAACGTATCCCTATTGTTAAGCAACATATGACTGTAAAGCTAGTAAAATATTTTTCACAGCAACTTGAAAAATGCACAAATATTGCTAACACAGCTATTCTTTTACTATATGTGCCATTTGAAGGAGTATGTTCTGATGGCTGCAGTTGCTGTGACAGGAGAACATTCTGGAGTAGTCATTCAGAGTGAGGAGCCTGGGGCCAGAAGGTAAATCGATGCACTGCTTCCTTCATTGAGAAAGTCTTGTTATGAAAAAAATACCAGCTGAACTGAACAGTATGCTTAATATGCTTAACTACCTGGTAAAAATTGTGAATTACATAAAAATGAATGTATTGAATTTGAAATCATTCTCTTTATAATGTGATAATACAGAACCTGATCATAAACAATTGTTATTGCATACCAAGTTGAGAATGTTTGATCTATGTTTTGGCAAGATAGCAACCAGTTTAGTACTAACATTTTAAAAATGTAAATTTCACAGTCATACTTGTTTATATTAGAGCTTTGATATTAATATTTTCATACAAGGAAGGAATGCAATATGTTTTTCAATGGCAAATAAAATCGAAGGGCATACACAAAAGAAGCTTAGAAGGATAGTTTCTATAAATTGTTATGTCATGTTCTTAATTTAATAAAAATTATTAATAAAATAGGCAAGGATCTTGATATTGCATATCTGCAAAAGCAGTCATAGAAAAACTAATAATGTGATAGAATGTTTTGAATTTTATTTTCTGTCAAAAGAAGATATCCGCATAGGAAATTCATAGATCCAGAATCCATTTTTTCATCAAAAGATAATCTAAATATAACTATAACTTTATAATAAAGTTTTGGAACTAGCTACTGATGAGGGATTGAAGGTGCATTTTGAAAATATAGCATCACATGCTTCCTTTTGTAAAAGTTAAAAATAAAAACATTGAGCTTGTTGAAATTGCTTTAAAATTCTTATTTATATTTTTATCAACATACCTTTATGAGACCACTTTTCTACTATGAGTGTTATTAAAACACAGCATAAAAACAATTTCTTTATATATTTTGCCCTAAGAGTTATGATGTAATTAGTGTTACTCAGATTAGGTAAGTTAATAAGGAGGAAGAATGCTCATTTGTCACATTAAAATCTTCAAATGTGGATATTCAGAGTGTTTGTTCTAAGTATGAATATTGGCATTTAATATGGAAAATTGCTATTTCACTTCTAACTTTTTGTTTAGTTATGATTGAGGAACCACAAAATGTTACAGGTATAACATTAAGCCACTATGTCAATTACCTGCATGTACACTTTCAATGAACAATGTGTGCAGTTTTTATAATTAAAATTTTTTTCCTATGTTATGTTTGTTCTGATTATATTTGTTGGAATGTAATTTTATGTCTATCAAATCTAATAAGCATTTTGGGCTTGTATTTTGTATGTCTGTTTTTTTCTCATTATGTTTCTAGTCATTTATTTTTATTGTATTTTACTAAAAAATAGTCATTGATGGATTGGAGACTATTTTTTATTTTTTTTGGTGAGGAAGATTCATTCTGAGCCAACATCTGCACCAATCTTCCTCTATTTTGTATGTGGGTGGCCGCCAAAGCATGGCCACTGATGAGTGGTGTAGGTCTGCACCCAGGAGTGGAACTCAGGCTGCTGAAGTGGAGCATGCCAAACTTAACCACCAGGCCGCAGGGCTAGCCCCCTGGAGATATTTTTTAAAAGTCCTCCACCACTGTCTTAGTCTGCTCAGGCTGCTATAACAAAGTACCACAGACTGGTGGCTTATAAACAACAGAAATTCATTTCTCGCAGTTCTGGAGGCTGGAAGTCCGAGATCAGGGTGCTAGCATGGTGGGGTTCTGGTGAGACCCCTCTTTCAGGTTGTATCTTCACATGGCAGAAAGAGGGTGAAGGAGCTCTCTGGGGTCCCTTTATAAGGGCACTAATCCCATAAGAGCTCCACCCTCATGACCTAGTCACCTCCCAGAGGCCCCACCTCCTAATACCATCCCATTGGGGGTTAGGATTTCAACATATGACTTTGGGACACAAACATTCAGTCCATTGCAACTACAGATACTGGAGAAACACTGATCTAGACTACAGGTTGGCAAAATTTTTTGTAAAAGGCCAGAGAGTAGCTACTTTGTGATTTGTGGGCCATATGGTCTCTGTCACAACTACTCAACTTTGCTACTGTGATATGAAAGCAGCCATAGACATTACATAAAGAAATGGGTGTGGCTGTCTTCCCAAAAAACTTTATTTATGGACACTGAAATTTGAATTTCCTATAATTTTCATGTATCACAAAATACTATTTTCCTTTCAATTTTTTCCCAACCATTAAAAAATCATCCTTAGCTTTCAGGCCAGTTTGCTGACCTCTGATCTGAGCCAGGAAGAACAGAAAGACCAACATGATACCAACATGGTGAGGGGTGGTCTGTGGCCAGTGGACACACATTTACTTGAGTGCCTACTTTGTGCCAGGTACCGGTGCCTTCTCCAAAGATGCCAAGCAGTCTTGGGCTCCCCTGTGGCCGGGTCATACGAGCTCAGGGCTCAGACCGGTCAGCATGCTGAGCTGATCTGTTGGAGCATCTTTGAGAAGTCTTGTAAATCATTGAGACAGGGTGTGTGTGAGGGAGGTGTGTGTGTGTGTGCGCGTGTGTGTGCATATATGTGGGTCCCTCAGGCACACGTCCCCAACAGCCTTCCCAGGAGACCAGGAGAGGGGGAGGGCAGCCTGGCTTCCATGACTAGGAAACCAGGAGACACCCAAAGGGGACCCCAGGGAAGGGGCTCACCTGGAGACACCGCCAGATAGAACCTTATGGACTTAGAGACAGAGTTTCCGGAAGCGTGGTAGATTCTACACCAGTAGTGTCCTGAGTCTTCCTCCTTCAGACCAGTCATGGTGACAATGAAGAAGCCAGCAGCAGGGTTGTCCCAGATTGAGAATCGAGAGTTCCAAGCCAGTGTGCGGGGGCTGGAGCTGGTGACTAGCCTGACGCACTTGAATTTCGACACCTCCTTACACCAGCCTTTGCTCTGGTAGGGCCAGCCCTTGGGCGGATACTGGCACCTCACAGAGAGTGTCTGTCCCGCCACGCTGTGAAGTTCCTGGACCTTTGATAGTGCCCACAAGCCTGGAGAACAGAGCTGCAGGTCAGGGCCACGCCAGGACTAGCCCCACCACCAGCCCTCTGGCCACAGAGCCACTTGCTCTGGGCCCTGCTGTCCCAATAGTCCCCGTCACCCCCTCTCCTCTCCTCCCACTTTCTCTTCCCTTTCCCCTCACCTGGGAGCAGCAGCAGCAGCAGTAGTGGGAATGGGGCTCTCCAGGCCATATGGCCCTTTTCCAGTGTGCTGGTGGGAGAGGACATGGTGCGGGGCACCAGAGAGAGGGAGCTGGGAGCTGGGAGCTGGGCCTGATTCTGCTTGGCTCTTCCAGTGCCTCTGAGATGGACAAAATGAGAGAGGCCAGGCCTGGCGTGGGGAGTGGGAGACCTGGGAGGGCAGGTGTGAATCTGGATGTGGAGGGCACAGCCTGCTTGGCATACAGCTCCGGGGTCTTTGTAGAGTCTTCTCCTCTCATCTGTGACCAGCTGCCCCTTTGCCACCGTGACCTGCGCCCGGAGGAGGAGCTGAGAAGGCCAGGAGGAAACTGTGGTCAAGCAATGGACTGCCCACTCTTTCTCTTCTTTCTCTTTCTGTGCACTGCCCCTTCTCTGCAGGGGCAGTCTTTGTCCTCCTGTCTTTGTCCTCCCCTGTCTTTGTCCTCCTCTTTAGGGAAAGTCACACTGAAGGTGGGTGACAAGCTCAGGGCCATTAGAGGTCTGAGCAAGAGCCCTAAGCCCCACTGGCCCCAGGAGTGGTCAGAAACTTCTTGCCTGGGCCTGCCTGGTAGGTCAGTGATGTGTTTCCACCTGGGGAGGTTTTGTGGGCGCTTGAGGGGAGAGCAGGGAGGAGGCGGAGATTCAGTTCCAGTAAGGAAGTGTAGGGAGGGTCCTTGGCGAAGGAGGGAGAGAGGGGAGCTGGGAGCAAGGAGATCAGAGGTCTTCAGAGGGGCTGGTGGGAGGGATGGATCTATGGGGGTGGGGTGCAGAGAAGGGCGCACAGGAGCCTGGACCTGGCATCATCTCTGCACCCTCACCTGTCCACCTGTGGACACCAGAGAAAGATTTGTGTAATTAATACATAAACAGATGAAAGACTCTAACATCTCTTTCTTTAGTGAATGTTAGCACTTTTAAGATTTAATTTAAAAAGATGTAATTTACAGAGAAAGATAAAGAGATTATATAGAGAAAGAGAGAGGCAGAAAGAGAGAGAGAGATGGGAAGAGAGAGAGAGAGACAGAAAGAGAGAGAGAGATGAGGACCACCAGCGAGGGCTCTCAGTATGTGTAATTCCAGTGGCGGCCACCGGGGGCTCTGCAGTCTCACGCCTGCAGCAGCGCACTCAGCGGAGAGTTAATGACTGAGGGGTGTTTGAGCCTATCAAGGGGACTGGATTCCAGTCCACTGCTTTGCCCCCGCCCCCCGACTCCTGGCCCCGCTTGGCCTCCGTGCAGAGTGAGCATCCACTGAGGATTAGGGCAAAGGGACAGACAAGAGGGGGAGGGACTCAGTGGGGCCATCAGCTACCTGTGCCCGAGGGACCACGGGTGGGAAATCAGGATGGAGTTGTCCAGCTAGGAGAAAACCTCAGGAACAATGCCAATACCCTACTTGTCCGATGTTAGTTTACAAAGCGTGTCCACGTGCCCTCTCTCTGAAGTCCCGCAGTAGGTTTGTGAGGGGGTTATTACTTTTCTTTTTCACATGAGGAAACTGAGGCCAGGATATGCCAGTGAGCAGCTCAGTGGCTCGGTGATGTGGTGATGTAACCAGGCCAGGCCTCCTGACTTCCAACCCCCGCCTTTCTGCTGGAGTCTGGCCCACAGACAGGCCCAGAAACCGAATTGCACACACATGCAGATGCGAGCTCTGGGGCAGCCCCTCTCTGAAGCTAATTACACACCAAATGTGGGGAACGTGCCCTCCTGAGGGGAGGAGGGTGGCTGTGCCTGTTATAGAGGTGTATCACTGTGTGTCAGGGTGTGCAGCAACTGCGTTCCCACGCTGAATTTCCCTTTGTCTGGCCACTGCTGACCACTGGGAAGGGACGCCTCCTCCCTGCAGGCCCCCAAGATTGCTCTTTGCCCACATTCTACTATCTCTGTGTTCCTCCGGCCTGTGGTCCGCTCTGAGTTGTTCTCTGCTGGGTCAGCGTGGGTCCTCGCTCGCCAGGGGACAGGAAGCTCTCTGAGGTCTTGATCTGCTCCTTTCTCTGCACTGTTGCCTCCCCACCGGTGTGAGTGGGGTGAGCACCCTCTGCACAGAGTTGGGGGCTCGGCACCCAAGGAGAGGACTCTGCTGGAACTATCTGGACCCGGGCTCTACTCCAGCAGCTGGGACCTGGAGGGAGGGGAGTCGGGGCTTAGGGTGGGGCTGGCCCTGTTCCCAGGGCCTCACAACAGCCACTGTCACAGTTAGAACTTTTGAGGAGGGGCTGGGGCATGTCACTGTGGTGGGACTTGGGGCTCCTTCAGAAGTGTCCTCAAGAGATGGGGGCAAGGAACCACTATCACACTACCAGGGCAGGGTGCCACCAGAACTCCCATCAGAGAGCGTGGGGTTCGGGGGCCTTGAGCCCTCTGCCTACCCTCTGAGAAGGGAACTCTGGAGCCTCAGCAACCCTTCTCCCAACCTTACTGTCACCCTCACAGGAGCCTGGAGAAGTTGCAGGAGAGCTGGAGACATCATGCTCCCAGGGAGTCCATTCCTCTCCTTCTCTCCCAGATGGGGCTGGAGGCAGACTAGAGCTCAGTTTCTCTGTCTGTAAAATGGGCATGCCTTTTCTCTCATCCATTTTGGGCTATCCACTTACCTCCCTTTGGGGCTTCCTGCCTATGTCCCCTACTCTGGGGATCCTGCAGGGGATCTTGGTGGCCCAGGATGTCAGAGCTGAGTGGGTCTGGACTCCTGTGTCCCCAGCCCCCTCCTCAACAGACACGGGTGTCAGATTCACAGGCGCTGATCAGGAGCAGCTCTGATTTCATTCCAGGTGGACCTGACCCCACACCCCCTGACTTAGCTTGGCGTCGGTTCAGTGTCTTCATCGGATCAGTGTCTTCCATATCCTGGGTGTTTTGTATTCATCATCCATTTAATTCTTCTGAGAGTTCTGTAAGGTGGGCCTCGTCAGTTCCATTGTTACCAGTGAAGTAACGGATGGAACATGTGCCCACGCTCATGCACCAAATTGTCTCCCTCAGGCCTGTGCTCTCTCCAGCACCTGCCTGCAGATGGCTTTCATGACGGAAGCCCAGTCTGGGTGGGCGGGATGGGCCCTGTTTGTGGTAGAGCTTCAGGACCAGGCTGGGGGCCTGGGCTTCAGGTGAGAAGCACTCGGGACCCACTGTGGTTCTAGAGGAAGGGAGAGGTCAGAACTATTTTAAGGGAGCCCTGCATTGGAAGGGGGAGGCTGCATGCAGGAAGCTCCGTCAGGCGGCTCTCACTGCCTTTGACGAGGGCTGGGGAGTGAATCCAGGGCCCTGATCTGGACACTTCTGCAGGACTTGGGGGCGAGTGAATAGAAGCCATAAAGGACTGGTGTACATACAGGCAGGATGGTTGGTTGTGGAATGTGAGACAAGACACACAGGTTCTAACTCAATCAGCCAAAATTTCCTCCATATCATATTGTACAGTCCAGTTTTGAGAGTTGCGTTGTCATTGAATGATTAGAGGGTCTATTTTGTCCACTGGGCCTGTTTGTTGCATGTTTTGGGGGATGAGGCTGTATAAGGATTCCAGAGCTCTCAATTAATGAATCAAACTTGTGTCTTGATTTCAATGAAAGGAGCCCATTTCACTCTCCTAAGCAGTGAAGCCATAAAGCCGGACATACATAGGAAGAGGTAGCAGCTTTCTGGCGTTAGGTAAACACCAGTTACGGTGTCTACATTTCGCTGTTACTTTTCTTCTTACATGCCACTCCAAGCCAAGTGCAGCTGAGCCCAGCCTAGAGCCGCTGACCCTCAGCCAACCCACAGATGCACGTGCAAGAATAAATGAAAGTTGTTTCAAGCCCGGAGTTCTGGGGGCTTGTTTGTTATGCAGCCTTATTGTAGCAATAGCTGACTGAAACGCTAGAGCCATTTTATCAGTGAGTCAGAGGTTCACCTGGGAGTAACAAATAATTTAAAATAAAGTTATGCAACATAGTCTCTTCCTTTTTCAATAAAAGTTCAGAGATAGGGAATCTAAGGCTTGCAAGTTGGCTCCAGAATCCCAGAGACCCAGAACCCTTCCACCTTATTGCTCACCGCACAGGGCATCCGTTCCCAAGGTCACCACATGGCTCTGGGTGGCTGTTCAGGCTCCAGTTATCACGTGTTCCTGCTAGGCAGCAGCGGGGAGGAAAACAGACGTGAGAGAAAAGAGATGGACCCAGTAACGTTTTCACGGGATCTTATGCAAAAGCACAGAAGACACTTCTGTTTACAAATCATTGCCAGATCTTAGTTACACGACCACCCGCAGTTTCAAGAGAGGCTGAGAAACACAGCCTCTTGTGGGGGCACATTGCCACAAAGATAAATTCTGAGGATGGGGAGAGGGAACCCTTTTTTTTTTTTTTACTATTCTTGGTACTCAAATATTCAATCAACTTGCAAAAAATTTTCCAAAATGCACTGTCCAATTTGAAAACTCACTATATGGAAAGTGCAAGTGAGAACATTACGGTTGTGCATGAATCCCAATGAGAAGATGTGGAGTGCCCTGTGGTTGTGTTTCAGCTGTTCCCCCAATGGGATAGATGAAGGGGGTTGGAGGTTCTGGGGTTCCCAATGTTTAGTTCTTCAAACTCTTAGGCCCCTTGCCCATATGTACCCACGCTCACACAGACACATACTTATACCTCATTCGCTTCTTCAAAACAACAGATCTGACAACCAGAAGTCAGCTGCTCAGGGACCGACTGAAACCTGGAGAGGTGGGCAGGCTTGAGAGAAGCAGGACCAGGCAGTGCATACACCTCACTTTGTGAAATTCCTTCTCCTCACTCCCCAGGGCCATAAGAATGTTTTGAGGGCAGTAGCAGGTTTCTGATGGACCCAGCTCAGCCCAGGCCCCAGGAGTAATGCCCACCCTCCCACGTCTGCCCCTTGCTGTTGCCCACTGTGATCCTTTCTGAGGAAAGGGCCAGCCGCGCCTGCGGCAGATGCCTCCCAGCCCTGAATCCACCGCTGTGGTGGCACCCAGGCCTCCCCAGCACGCAGATCCACTCCTTTTGGAACACTCCTTGCGCATCTTGTCCAAGGCCCCAATCGGGGGGGCCCCAACCCAATTCAGCCTCTTTCCCCCCAACCTTAGAAGGCTCCTCCTCCAGATCTCCTCCTCCTGCTTCTAGGTTCATCAATCACCCAGACCACCACCTCTGTCAGCTCCGGTTCTCCTCTGCCTCCCCTCTCTTCCCTCCTTTTCCTCTCCCCACCTCACACCCGTATCTGTGAGTCTGTCCCTACCTGCTTCCCCACTCTCAGCCTCGACCTCCCCAGGGGCTCTCCAGATGGCCACTGGTGTATTCCTCCTGGGCAGAGGCAGACACTTCTCCACCCCTTCTCAGAAACCTCCTGGGGATTTCCACTCCACAGGAAATGCATGCTAGCCTCCTCAAGGCCCAGCCTGGTGTGGCGTCCCATCTCTGCCTCCTCCAGCATAAATGCGCCTCTGCAAACCCAGAGAAAACCCCACTGTCTTGAAAAGGCAGCTGGTGTGTGTTTCCTTCTGCGCTTAGATATTAATGGCTGCACATCTAAGCGTGCGGGGGGGGGGGGAGTGGGGAGGTGGAGTAAGGAGGGAACAGCGTGGCCGACCCAGCCCACTGGCATTTTTCTCTACCAGCCAATTTAAAAAAAAGGTAAATCCAAGTTAAGAAAGGTGACCATCAACAGATTAGATTTCTAAGGATTAAAAATTAAGATCAGAAAAATTAGAATGTCAGAAGCAGAAGGCTCAACAGCCCACAATGCGGGCAGGAAGATATGACCTCAATTCCTTTGATCATTAATACTATTTGACAATCAAATAGCTCACACAGTTGAGAAAAATGAATAGCATGAAGGTAAAGATTCAACACAAGCACCTGAATTTAGAATTAATGGCAATAATTCACGGAACGGGAGAGAGACTTCAAATAATTGCAATAAATACCCTCAGAGATATTTACGAAGACATTGTACTTTCTTACTAGTCAGGCACTTACAAATGAAAGGAAATTGCAATATTATTCATTAATTTGACAAATCTTTAAAAAGATTGCTCGTATCCAGCGTTGGTGAGGGTGCGAGGAAGCAGATATTATCATATTCGTAGTGGGAATATAAATCGTTCAGCATTTGTGAAGGCGAATAGGAAGGATCTGTGAAGTTTGCCGTGTGCATTCTTTGACCTGCTAATTCCGCTTCTAGGTACTCATCCCTGAGAAGTACACACATGGGCACAAAAGGACGTGTACAAGGATGGTCATGGCCCATTTTTTCTAACAGTGAGTCCCCGTGGAGAGTTTAGCTAAGCTACTCTGTGGGATTGTTGCCTTGGCATCCGTGTCGTTTGGCCAAGCAGCCTGCAGGGGCCTTCACCAGACACTAGCCCCCTGCTAGACAGCAGCCTGCGGAGTCACACGCAAATGGAAGTTCCTGACCTGACTTCCTCAACAGCACTTGTGACCTACAGCCTCTCCTGCCTCCCAGGGCCTTCCCCTTACCGAACCCGGGCTCTCTTTGGTTTGAATTGACCAATCCGGCCTTAGCCTGGGAACCCCAAAGCACACTACCCATGGATCCTAATCAAGGCCTGTGCCCCAGGTCCTGACCCTCTCTGTCTGCACCCTGCCTTGACCTTCCCGTGTGGCACCTTGAGGCGTGCTAGGTACTTCCTCCAGGACCTGTGAGTGGTAAAATTGTCTATTACTCTTTCTGTTGTGGTCTTTTGTAGAACCCGGGCTCACCCTCCAGCACCCTGTGCTTCACTTCACAAATGTTAGTTTAGCAAAGTCATAGTGGCCCCACAGGGAAATAATAAGATGACTCACGGTGCACCTCTTTCAGACAGTGCCATTAGCAGTTCACAGAGATGGGGGCACATCTTACATGTGAACACAGCTCAGTCTCCGAATATCTTGTTAAATTTAATGGTTGCTGCAGAATAATCCCACTTATGTAAAGCGAAATGAACTCGGACTGTACATTTGTTTGCACACATAAGCCTGTATCTGTAGAAACACAGAAATTGTCTGGAAAGCTACACATCCATTGAAGAGCAGGGGTACCTTCTGAGAAGAAGGAGCACGATGAGTGTCAGGGAAGGAGAGGTGAAGGGAACTTTAACTCAACTGTATACTACTGCAGTGTTTGTTTTTCATAGTCTTTTATAGACATATATTCATATATTGCTTGTATATATAATATTTTAAATATTATGTTAAAAAGTATGTTAAACGGCAGGCAAGGTAGAATGGGGAAAATGGGCAAAGCAGAGGACCCAGCAGCCTGGTCTCCCTGAGGCCAGCGCCAGAGGGGTGTGTGGTGACTGCCCCAGGGCAGGACTTGCAATGTGGCCTCCCAGTGCCCTGCCGAGGTAAGGGGATTCTCTGCAAGTCTGTGAAGATGGTACAATTTGAACAAACGCACAGGGAAGCAGTGAGAACACACTACTCAGGAGATAAGCCTACAGAGAGGGGCTTTAGACAAACTTGTGACCAGAAGTATCATGGGGACAAGAGCCTTTGATGGCTGGTAGAGGAGCTGGTGAAGGGCGAGGTCAGGGGTCTTCGGGATTCTGGCTGGGCAGAGGCCTTGGGTCAGCAGAGAACTCTGCAGAAAAGATCCCCACAGTGGGGCAGAAAGAACACTGCCAGGCCCTGCTCCAACCCGGAGAAATCTTGCCAAGACCGCTGCAGAGCCTCTGTGCTGAGCCTGGGCTTGTCCAGATACCTTCAGGGGCATCCCGTGCTTTCCAGGTACCTTGAGCAGAGGAAGGGGATGGTTTGCCACTAACACCCTTGTCATTGCTGTTTCTGGGGTCTGAGGTGGGGGCCTTCCTCCGGGTGCTCATCCTGGGGACTCCAGGGCAGGCCACTGCCAGTGTGGCTAAAGAAAATTCATCTTAAGCAAATTCACTGAGGCCAGTGCACCGAGAGCCATTAGGAGCGCACCCAGGGAATCAGAATTGAGTTTCGATTCTATCCCCTACAAAATGGAGAAGACAGTATCTAGCTCACGAAATTATTGTGAAGATTGAATCAGATAGTATATGTAAAAACTTGGTGCTTAATAAATATTAGCTATTATTATTAAAAGAATTCTGGCTTCTTTTCATTTTTAAAAAATATTTCTGCACCGTATAGATCTATTAAGGGAGTTATAACATCTCTAATGTTTATTGTCCTTAAAGTGCTCGTCATTTAAAAAATAAAAGGTAGGCAGCAAGGGGGGCATGTCAGATTCATACTTCTGTTGGGCCCGGAATTGTCCCCACAGTGGAACAGGACGGGGTATTCTCTAGAGGTGTATCAGACCCATACCTACACTCCCTGAATTTTAGATTCCAAGGCATCTGAGTCGTCAAGTCATGCTCTAAAGAACTAGGGCTCTCGAGACCACTATTTTGGGTCCCTGCTCTGCCTCTTCAAGGCTCTAAAATATTTGAGCAAACTGCTAAACCCTCTAAAAGTCTCAGTTTCCTCCTTTCTTAAATAAATATTAATGGATCCCTAATATGACTACACTGGGAATAAATGAGTAAACCCTTCTAAACATTTATGGAAGTGCCTGTTATTAGATGGTATCTCCCCAATTAATGTCCGTCATCATTAATAATCAACATCCACATATCATGTTTGCTTGACTTTTAATTCTATATATGTAGACAGGAAATAGCAGGACAGGAAAGTTCTAAAAGAAAATAAAAATAAAATTTATGTAAGTTTTTGGTGGAGCAGAACTTTCAAATTACGATCTCAATGCCAGAAACTACATAGGGAAAAATGGTAGGTCATACTATATACAAATTAAAACTTGGACATTATAAAAAGATATGATAATATTTAAAAGCAAGTCACAGTTGTGAATAAATGTTTCTCTCCTGTTTGGCAGGAAAAGGGTTATTAGGCTTCATATATAAACAAGTCTTTTAAATAATGAGAGAAAAGGAATATTTCAATAGAAAAAGGGGGTAAGGCTCTGAGCAGGTAACTTTCTATAGAAGAAATATAAATGAACAATGTTAATAAACTATATTCAAAGTGGATATCATTAAAATAAATGCAAAACCACCCTTCTCTTCATACTGACAAAAATTAAAATAAATGATGATAACCAGGGTTGGGGAAATTTTAGGCAAAAGGCAATTGCATATTCTCCTGGGTAAAAAAAATTGTTATCGCCTTTTTGAAAGGCAGTGTGGTGAGAGTAATCCGAATCCATCTTAAAAAAGAAATCATCTCTGACTCAGCAATTCTAAATCTAGGAAATGAAAAAGGGTACAATGGCTATTGTTGCAGTACTATTTAGTTTTAAAATTTCATTAAAGAATGCATATACGTATTTTCAAAATTTGTAGCTCCAAAAATTATAGGTTATAGACTCATATTAATAAAAATGCGGCAGTTCTATGCCCTACACTCTATACCAAAATTCCCTTTCCCCCTAGGGAGTCAATTTTAAGTATTTTTCATATTTATTCTTACATTGATATTTGTCTATTTTACAGTTTTAGGTATTTTCCAGTAGAGGTGTACTATGGAAGATGAGGATTGTTCCTTTTTCACAGCCCTCTCATGTCTATCCCTTTCCCCCTACCTTTATTCTCCCCATATAGTCAAATATAGTTACAAGTAAAATTAATTTTTAGGTTTGATATTTCATGATCATGTATATATTTTTCATAGCCCAGTCATAGTTTATTATGATTACATTTCCTTTTTGGTACAACTTCTTATTTTCCATGAAGTTGTTAACTGCCTCTTTTTTTTATTTACTTCAGAGTCTATGTACCATCATTAATTCATCTCTAGACTCTACCTCAAAATGTAAATTTCATCTTAATTTGTTCAAGCATATCGGTTCATAAACTGGTTTTGTTCCTCCAGCCCACCTCCATGCAGTCTAATGTCCTCCTGTCTCAATCTGGACTTGTTTTCTTCTGGGCTGTCAGCACAGCTACCTCCCTGACATAGCCCTTCGCCAGCTCCTTGCAAATTCCCTTGGCCCCCATCCGCTGTTGAAAGTGCTCTCTCCTGAGCCCATGTCTAACTCTTTCTTTGTTTACTCTCCCCTTTTAGCGCAGGGCTTGGGAAACTAGAGCCCTTGAGCCAAATCCTGCCTGCCGCCTGATTTTGTAAATCTTCATTTCTGCATTGCATTGTATTGCAGTGCAGACATGCTTCTTCATTTCTGTGTTATCTATGGAAGCTTTCATGCTGCAATGGCAGGACTGAGTAATTGGAACAGAGATCATATGCCCACAAGCACAAGATATTTCCTATCTGGCCCTTTACAGAAAACGTTTGCTGACCCTAGAAATGGAAGATGACAAAGAAGGGAGAGGCAGCCAATGTACAATGGTGTATCTGAAGGAAAGGCCAGAAGAATGAGAACACAAGCAACAAATATAGGCTTCATGGAAGAAAGATTTTCTGAAGTGACAGATAACATACGTGATGCTCTGTTAATTATCACTGAAAGACGTGTGAACTGTATCTTCCAGCGTGGGCCAGATTTTGCTGGAGTAATAATCCCAATTCAGTGGGTTCACACAAGTAACGTTTTTCCTTGCTCCTGTGAAGTCCATCACACGACCGGGTGACGGTCCAGCGTAGGAGTCCTCTGTGGGTCAGTTCAGCATTTGAGGTGCATTGATTTTACAGACCTGCATGTCAACGCCTGCTTCTCTGGTTGTCACGACAGGGAAGAGAGTGCTGGAGAGTTGAGCGCTGGCCCTTACATGGTTCTGCCGCAAGTGAGACACATCACTTCCACTCACGTTTCACTGTCCAGGCAGATCATCAAGGAGCTGAGAAACACGATCCTTCCATCCATCCAGAGGAAAAGGGGAATCAAATACTGATCAGCAATAGCGACGCCTATCACATTTCTCCAGGCAAATCCTACAGGCTTCAGGACTGGAAGGAAGAGAAGTTATTTCCAAAGGGATGACTAACAAGTCTCTTTGGCTTCAGAGATTTCGGCTGCAACACCAAACATCAGAAGACATGAAATCAATTCCTATGGAGAACAAGGGGAAGCATTGTCACCTAAGGCTCTTATGTCTCATGAAGTTATCCTTAATTTGTGGAGACAACCAGACAGTGTTACACACAATAGAAACTAACACTCTTCTTGGAAAGAAATGATTTGAATATTGACTTCAATTCACTGACAGTTAATTCTTTTAAGGAGCCAACAAATGGTGGTGGTAAGCACTGAGACAAGTCTAAAGAGAGATAAATTTAAATAATTATTGCATTCTGGTGAGAAAGATGACCAAAAATGATGTCTTTATAAAATCATACTTTGTTTTTGTGAATATATGTGTAATTAATTTTTGTATATAGATATTATACTTAAATTAATACTCTCTCTATTATTTATAATAATTTGATTATTCATTTTACGATTTGTATATATTTAGTTGTCACAAAATAATAAATTTATACCTATGCAATTAGTATAAATTTAACAAGCATAAAATGTTAAATACTTTACAAGAACATATTTATACTTGAGTATGTGTACACATAAAATATATAATATAAAGATATGATAAAAGCAAGAATGTTCATCCAGAAAGGTGAAAAAATTTAAATTAAATGAATAAATATGCTGCTGGAAAAAGATTTTTAAAAGGAAATAATATATGTTCCCTTAGGAATGACAAAGTAGTCAAAATAACAAATATGAAATATATTAGAAAACATATGAATTAATGAATTAATGTAATTTTATAATTACAAACAATAAAAACCCTGATTAGATGATGTATTAGTTTCCTAGGGCTACTGTAACAAATTACCACAAACTGGGTGACTTAAAACAGCAAGAATTTATTCTCTCACAGTTCTGGAGACAGGAAGTCTGAAATCAAAGTGCTGGCAGGCCCACATTCCCTCCAGAGGTTCTAGAGAAGAATCCATCCCTTGTTTCTTCCAACTGCTGCTGGCTGTCGGCATTCCTAAGCTTATGGGCACATCATTCCAACCTCTGCCTTGGTTATCACATTGCTTTCTCTGTGTGAGTCTAATCTCCTTCTGCCTTTCTCTTGCAAGGATACACATGATTACATTTAGGACCCACAAGATAATCCAGGATAAAGGCTTCCTCTCAAGATCCTTAATTTCATCACACCTTTTGCCATATAGGGTTATACAGGTTCTGGGGATTATGAAGTGAATACAAATCTTTGGCAGCCATATTTTTTGCCTTCCACAAGTCGACTTTTTTTAATGAAAATATGAGTTAACAGAATTAGGTCAAGATATTAAAATCATCAGTTGACAACTAACCATAGATGATACTGATATGGGTGTTAAAAACCCACCAGCCCAGGTGCCTTTAGGTGCAAGTCCTAACATGCCTCCAAGCGACAGATGATGTTCATCCAACTTCAACTGTTACAAAGAAGCAAAAAAGTGAAACCTGTTTCCTGGTGGATTACAACAAGATAAAGAAAAATTTTAAATTCCTCTTGTAAAAACTTGACAAAAAGGGCCCAAAATCCAAAATAAAATATTAGCAAATTAAAGACAGAGTTATATGGAAAGAATAATATATCATGACCAAATAGCCTGTATTATGTGACTACAAATGTGTGTGACTATCAAAGTTCAGTCAATGTTTGATACTATTTCAATAAATCAAAGGAGAAAACCATGTGAACATATTGATAGGTGGCAGAAAGACATTTGGTAAAATTCAGCATCCATTCTAGATAAATATTTCACTACTCTATAAATAGGAAATTGCTTTCTTAGGAGAAAAAGAAATGATCTATTGAATTAATGAACTAAAATCACACTAGGAGGGAAATGTTAAAAATTGGGATCAAGATAATAATGC